CTAGTGGGCCTGGGCTTGACTCCCTGCACCCGTATGGCAGCTTATAACCTTGTGTAACTCCAGTTCCAGAGAATCCGATGCCCTCTTCTGACCTCTTTGGGCACCAAGGATGCGTGTGTCGCACAAACACGCAGGCAAGAACACTCATACATATAAAGTATATAAAAATTATTTAATTTAAAATTAAAGGGAGGTAAAGCTAACTGCATAATTCGTTTCTAAGATTTCTAAGCTTTGTGTTAAAAATACTAAGTTACAACTTCCTGAATAAACATGTTGGACAAGATACATGAGTAGTTTGTATTTTGTGTTCATGAAGGAAAATTTACAAGTCATTCCCTGTATGTTTTTCCCTACTAAAAGAACAGAAACAAATGAAATTTACTCCATTCCTCAGATAGGACCTGAACATTAAGGTTTGTTTTGTAAAAACTGGAGTGACCATTTCAGTTTGCTCCTTGTCTGGGTTTTAGCACAGCCAACCAGCCACAGCAGGACTCAGTCCCCAGTGAAACCCCTTATCAAGGAGGTGGGGAAGTGCTTAGGTGTTTTGTTTTGTTTTGTATCAAAACCCTTCAGTTTCCTGCCTCTTCCCAGGCTTGCTTTTCTCCAAGCTCTGAGTGTATGGTAGGCTCATTTCTCCCACCCAGAAATCATGATGCTTTTGTTCTCAGTATTTCTGAAAATGCTTATGCAGAAAACAGGTCTCCTGCGCTCCATTCCTGACACCTTGACGCCGCTGCTCGCTTGGTGTTTGCTTTCTTTAGCAGCCACACAGATTCCACAGGCCTCGGCTGCAGAAAGGGCTCCATCCTGGGATGCCAGAGGTGTATGACATGGCAGCTCTCTGGAACCTGCTCTGTTCCTTTGAACCGGGGGGCATCGCCACAGGCATGATGGCAGAGGGGCAAACTGTCCAATGCCTGGGACTTTTGCTTATTAAACAGCTCTCTTTGTCTCTTCCTATACTTAAGACTTTCTGCATTGCATAGGAAGCAGCTGACTAGACAAAACTTTTACAGTCATTTTAAAATGTGGCAAAGCTGATTTGCAGAATCCACTGAGTCGCTTCACTTTGAATTTCTCTTTGAGTTTGTATATTTTTTTAAATCCTCCCCCGCGCTCATTCTAGTGCATAGCTCTATTCAGCTGTGTTATTTCCTAAACAGAAAAAAAAATGTCAAAACACATAGTCTGTAAGACTCTTCCCAGTTAGAAGTAAGTATATATGTCAAGGTCATTCAGAAGGTGAAAGTTGCTTTCTCTGGACTCTTGAAAGCTTAGGAGGAGGTTCAGAGCATCCTCTACCACATAGCTACTGTTCAGAAGTAAAAAGGCAGTTTGCAAGGACTGACCAGGCGTTAGCAGATAGCCCTGAGCTGATGTGCACACATTCTACCCGTTGGCGAAGGGAAGCACTTTATTAAAATGTCTTGTAATTAGCTGTGCTGATTGTGGTTTCCATAGTGACAGTGTAATGGGGAACAGCCAAGTACATATACACCTCGCCACTTTGAAGACTGTTTTTTTCTCTTTACTTTTTTTTTCATTTGGATTATCAGATATTAATTGTACAGATTAATGGGTCCACTGCTCTCCATTAACACACTGTGCACACACACTTCTGCAACATGGAACCCCCACATTCACCCACCACCCTTCCCCGTTCCTAAAACTCCCTACATGTCTCTATTCCCCAAAGCTTTTGTCGTCCCCTGCCTTCTGTTCCATTTAGACCTTCCACAGGATTGACTTCCTGGTTTCCATGCGTTAATGAGGAGGCCCGTCTGGCTGCATTAGCATTATTTCACTCAACACACCTTCTCCCGTCCATTCCATATCTTTCATGTCTGGATAGTATTCGATTGTGTCATTGTCTGGCATCGTCTTTACCCATACATTTATGATAGGGCATCGAGATTGGTTCCGTATTTTGGCTACTACAGATAGAGCTGCAATGATCTGGAGAGTGCAAGTTCATTTTACATATAAATACTTCATCTCAGGTCTTGTGATACTTCCACTTTTCGTTTTGTGAGGAGTTCCCATTTCTTTTCCGTAATGACTGCACTACTGTGTAGTTTCACCAAGAGTATTTGAAAGTTCCAATTATTTCTTTATCATTATTATTAATTACTCTTTATTCACCCGTTATTTCTTATATTTTGGTAATAACCATTCTAACTGGAAAGAGATGGTGTCTTAACTGTTCCTACTTTTGTTGTGTGGTTTGTTAAGAATCAAACCCAAGCTTAGGAAATGCTAGGCCAGTGCTTTAGGGCAGAGCTGTGTCTCCAGCCCTTGTTTTGTTTGTTTATACACAAGGTCTCATTCTGTAACCTAAACTGGCCTAGGATTTGCCTGGCTGACCTCAAACTTGTGATTCTTCTGCCTTAGCTTCCTGTGTGTGCTGGGACTATAGGCTTGAGCTAACACACTGTGCTCTTTGTGGTATGAGTTACTTTTCTCTTATAATTAGTGAAAGTGTGCTTTTGGTATGTGCTTGTTGGATATTTGTATGTTTCATTTTGAGAAGTATTTGTGATGTTATCTTTTTAGTTCCTTCTGTGTTCTGAATGTCAGTATTCCATTTACAGATATTTTCTCTCAATCTCTCTTAATCCTGTGGTCTGTTTTGCTGTGTCAGCATCTTTTAGTTTGCCATGAACTCGTTTGTCTGTTTTTACTTTTGTTGCCTGTGTATTTAGATTAATAATTCTCTTCCTATATCAATGTCTTAAAGTAGTTCACCTGTTTTCGTACTTCATAGTTTCAGGTACAATTCAGGCTTAAGAGTTAGATCTTTGATCCATTTTGAATTGGGTTTCCTATGTGGTGAGAGAAAAGGATCCACTTTTATTCTTCTGCATAAACTTAACTAATTTTGTCAACTATTTCTTGAAGATAGTCTTTTTTCCACTATTATGTTCTTATCACCTTTGTCCAAAACTGTGTTGGGATGTAGTTGAAGGCCACAGCACTTGCCTAATATGTGGGTGGCCCTGGTTCATAGCATCACACACACACAAATAGAGAGAAAGAGAGGAGAGGGGGAGAGAGAGAGAATGCCACACACACATTGATAGGATCTTTCCAGCCAAGGAAAGGTCTTTAATGTCTTATTGGGAATAAACAAGCCCATACTAATGATACAGACCTATGCAATCAAATTTGCACAGTGGATAGCAACAATGAGAGGGTCAACAGGGTCCCAAATATGGTCGCTAAGTCACAGGATGTGTGAAACAATGGAGATGGGTAGAGCTGAGAGGGCCCTTCAGTGAGCACTGTTGTGATGCTGGAGTTTGTGCTAACCAGGAGAGGTTTTTGATGGTAAGAGAGAGAAGCTTCTTTGGTTTACTTAGTGGGAAGTGAGATTTACAGTGAGAGTTTCTGGCATTTAAAGTTCTGTGTCTTGTGGACCACAAAGATCTTCTTTACTTTGAATACTCAGCTGAGAAAATACTGAAAGGATTAATGAAATGTGCATAGAAAACACATTGGAAATTCTATTGATTATATGGACCTGTGCTTACTTACCTGGCCAGGATTACCTGATATGGCTGTGAGGAATGAAACCAGGCTTGGGTGGGAGGAATCATAGCAGGACTAAGTCTGCAACAATTTTTTTGAAAGCAATCAGACTTTTTATACCTTTATCAGAAATAGAATATAGTGGCAATTGCCAGGATCTTCTCAAGTGAGTCAGTGTGCACTGAAGTCACTAGTTTCCAAAGTCCCATGATAAAGGCCTTCAAATTCCTTTCTTGTGGGCACAAAATTTTCAGTAAAGGTTGATACAATAAGCATTTAGTGGTAGGCTAGGGTAACAGCTCAGTGGTAGAGTATGTGTTTAGCTTTCCTGAGTTCATGGTTCAACCCTCAGCAAGAAAACTAAGCAAATAATAAACACCAGAGAGGAGATAATTTACATAGTAATGACAGCTTCAAAAATCCTTTCTTCTAAGCACTGAGGAGAATGACCCCACTGGGCCACCACCAATTCCTTGCCTTCTTTGTTGTCACTAATCTTCACCCAGCCATACAATGCAGTAACTATGCATGTGGCTTATTGGAATGTGGTGAAGGTGGTGGGAGAGGGAAGGTTCACCACCACCCCCTACTTGTATGGGATGTGCTAGCACTTCCCTCTAGAATGACTTTCTCTTGGTGAGGCACCAAGGTTTCCTGCCTTTCCCTCCAAAGAGTCTGTGCTGGGTATAACACTTCTCCTTCCCAGGCGCACTGCCGTAACAGAAGAACTGCTTCCCACTTCCAGGGAAATGTTGAGCTGAGTCCTTAATGACATAGACACAGACATCAACTGCTTCTTGTGTGGTTTCTTTATTCCCCGGTTAAATTCTCTTGTTCTTAGCTATTTCACAAAACAATCTCATGGTATACAATCACTGTTGTGTGTTTTCTAATATCAGTCCCACCTTTCCTTTCCTTATTGTTTTATCATGAGACAGATAAAATAGTTTTCATGACCATTATGAAAATGAACTATGTCCTTATTATTACCCTCAACAGTTACTATAATAGTTATTCCAAGGGCATGGTCATAGCTCCAGACATTTTCAGAACTCTCTTTTTAGCATCATCAACTTGTTTCTTTTGGATTTTGAAATTGATGGAATTCAGCTATATAAGAATACATGGACAAAAACGTGAATGTGTTTTCATATTTGTGGTTTTTTTTTTTCTTGTTATCACTTTTCAAGACAGGGTTTCTCTGTACAACAGTCCTGGCTGTCCTGGAACTTGTTTTGTAGACCAGGCTGGCCTTTGAACTCACAGAGATATGCCTGCCTCTGCCTTCCAAGTGCTAGGATTAAAGGTGTGCACCACTGCCTGGCTTCATCTTTTTCTCTTTAAATCAGGAAAGATCCTAATATTTAATTGTCGCTGTTACATATGAGGAATGCTACTTCTGCCTTAGGTAGAGTTTTCAGTAAAACCTACAGTAGAAATATGATGGGTTTTCTTATAATCTGCAGGAAATGTTTGATGTTATATTAGATGAGAATCAGCTCGAGGACGCATGTGAACATCTGGGCGAGTACCTGGAGGCATACTGGCGTGCCACCCACACAAGCAGCAGCACCCCCATGACCCCGTTACTGGGGAGGAACGTGGGCTCCACAGCCCTCTCGCCATATCCCACAGCAATCTCGGGATTACAGGTACTGCTTTTTTATTTATTTATTTTTTTCTTTTAGGCTTATAACTTCTGCGCCCTTACTTTCAGGATCTAATAGAGAACTAATTAAGATGAAGACTCTGGTTGTTCTTCATCTGAAGAGACATGAGAGGATATTGCATTTTTTTAAAAAAAACTTAATTGCTGGGGCTCCGCAATTAAGTGCAATTTCCACTCTATCAGAGGACCCTGGTTTAGTTCCCAGCACACACATGGGGGCTCACAATCATGTGTAACTCCATGGGTGCCAGGCACACATGTGTGCACAGACATACATGAAGGCAAAATATTTATACTTATAAAATAAATAAACCTTAAAATTTGTTTCAATTAAAGAAGAAAACTAAACCTTACACTGGTCCCGACCTGTCATTGAGAAAACGTGCCCTCCCCGCAAGTTTCCCTTCCTGGAGAATTTTGCTTAGATCAGTTCATCTCTGGTAGACTTAATATCTAGTCAGCATAACTGTTCACAGCTCCTGCATGGCACCACGGACAGCTAAGAAAGATAGATCAGGACAGACAGACCTTCGGCCTGCCTTTAACTCTTCATGTTCCACAGGCTGCTGAATCTGCCCTCCACCTTGTACAAACAGAATGAGTGAGCAGATTTGGAAACGGTGATAGATCCCTGAGTTTCCAGGGGTACCTAGGGGCCTGCTTTGGCCATTGTAGGGATCTGAGGAGAAGCAGAAAGGAAGTCAGAGCTCTGTTTTTGTTTTTGTTTTTCTACTCTGTTGCAGTCAGAACTAGATGTTGGATGCCAGGGGCATGATATAAAGGGAGTCCTGCCTTTCTGCATTAATAACTATTTACCATGTATCAAGCAGCTGGAATAGATCCAAACCCTAGGCTGAGAAACATACAGTCAAATGAGCCTCTTGGCAACATGACTGGTCTTGTTTTAATGGGTTATAAGGATAGTCAGAACTGAAGATTTTTGTAGAGTTAACTCTAAGCTAAATGGCACTCTGAAATGCTATTGTAAGTACGTTACTCCACTTCAGACAACACCTTTGTAAGGAGAAAATATGCAAAATACATTAATTTCTCTTGAGGCTAGAAATGAGTATGGGAAATGGACATAATGTGATAATGTTCTCAGCGTGTCTGTATTCACCAGCACTATTTCTTGCCTTGTTTTCCTTCTTGTATGCCTGTCTGAGAGCAACAGTCCCATTGCTTAGCTCTGGTTAGCAAAAAAGGGAATGGATTAATGACCCAGTAAACTCTGTAGTGTCAGAGGGCCTAATGTTGCACTTTGTTTATAACACATAACTAGCCACTATACAGTAGTTTTCTCAGCATCATTATGCGTTAACTTGGTGCCCTTTATCCTGAGGCCTACTTCTCCCAGGAACTACAGGTGTTTGAGGGCATGAGCTTTGACCCACTGAATGAGTTTCCTTCTGTGTGAAGCTGATGTACTTTGGGAAAGAGGTACGAGGGCCCTTGGTGTCACCAGGTTCCTATTCTAGAATCCATGTGACCTACCTAAGCTGGTAGACACAAATAGACAGGTACTCCTAAAGAAAGAAAAAAAAAATCAGATAACACATTCTGGGCCATCAGATAACTGCCTTATGATGTTAATTTCAAGTAACACTATTAAAAGAATTTGGCTTATGTCTGAAGATCATTTTTGCAGAACTCAATTAGGAAAACAAGAATATATAAAGACCCAAATTAGCTGGCTCCACAATACTGTGTATTCCCCTGGAAAGAATATTGCTGAGAGTCTCACGTTCATGTCAGATACAGAAACAAATACATTATTTAATGGATAGTACAAGTAGTAGTTTCAGTAGTGTTCTTTTTCAAAGCTATAAGGTACATCAATCTTGAGCAAGATAAAGTAAATGTAAAGTCAGTGACTTTAGAAGGAGATTTGTATGAATTCATGAAAGGAATCAAATAATACATCTTATTCTAAATTGTAGTTCCTAATAATAAAATCATCATTCTTAGAATAGGAAGAGAATTATTAGGTCTATCTAAATTCATTAAGCTCTACTGAAGAGTCAACTTTCAGATCTGTGTTTCAATAGGAAGCATAGTCATCCAGCATCATACACTTACAGACACAAACTACCAGTAATAAAGTATCTATGTGTGTTGTATCCCAGAAAAAAAAAAAGACAAGGTATTCCAAGCAGAACGTCTGTTAGATCAGTTAGCGGCTCGTTTTACAGACCCTGTCACCGCACATGCGCTAACATGTTCAGTTGAATGAGGCTGACCTTATCTAACCAGTGAACCGCCTGATATTTTTAGAGTCAGCGAATGAGGCACAGCAACCATTCTACAGAGAATTCTCCAATTGAAAGGCGAAGCTTGATGACTTCTGATGAAAATTACCACAATGAGAGGGCCCGCAAGAGCAGGAACCGCTTGTCCTCCAGCTCCCAGCACAGCCGAGACCACTACCCTCTGGTGGAAGAAGATTACCCTGACTCATACCAGGACACTTACAAACCCCATAGGAACCGAGGCTCGCCTGGGGGATACAGCCATGACTCCCGACATAGGCTTTGAGGCTGCCGAAACAAACAAAAATCATCTGTTGACAATTTGCCATAGCACTGCTAGGATAAACCAGTCATCTTAATTTGGCAAGCACAGCACAGTATCTGCTGTGTGGGTGGGATGCTGTCATTTGATTTAAGGGGCAAGAATTAAATAGAAGTACATTATGCCCTTGAGTCTAGACGGGTAGTAGATGCCCAATCACATAGGTATTTTTAAGTGCTACATTTACATAATAACAGTACCTTTTGTTTTCTTCATAGATTTTAGACACATCAATTTGTAATTTAGGGTACTTGTCAAGGCACATATAAAATAATTTCCCGTGTAGGAAATTCCAAATGACCAGTTCCAGTTGGAACCAATTTATAAACCAATTCCTGTTGGAATTTGGGTGAATTGACTGGAAAGTCTACTTGAGCATGTTGAAATCAATTGAAAAATTGGAAAAAAAAAACCAATAAGAAAATCAAAATACTAATAGAAACCAAAACCAGCTATGGTATTTATTTGCTGGAAGCTAAATTTACACTTCAAGGTGGACTATATAAACATTTTAATAATATGTTAATGTTGCCAGAATGGCTTTTCAAACTTACCAAATGTATTGATAGTGCCAAAAAAATTCTCAGAAATCTTAATGCAGAAATTATATAATCGCCTCAGATTTTAATATTTTTATTTTCCTAATGCAGCTGTTGTATTCAAAGTGTTTTGCTTTCTGTTCAGTCAGTACCGTTAGCCAGTTCGAAGCTGACTAAATAAGGGGGAAAATGTGAATAGTAAAGACAAACCCAAGCATGGCTAGTTAGAGGAAATGGAAGATGAGGTGTTGTTTCTTCTGTAATCAGTCTGCACACAACTACACACATCTGGAGATCCGAAGTCAGGTAGCAGAGGTGTGGCCGGACCTTTCTGGGCACAAAAGTAATCGGCTCCAGATGCGAATCCATCCATCCACTGCACACTGACACCGGTTTAGGAGTTGTGCCAGCATAGCTGAGTGTCTTTCCCTCACATTACTCAGTCTCTGTCTTTGACTATAATGAATGTTTTGGCCATACACCACAGTTTTCAAATCAAAGGAACAACTTCTCTTTTATTTTTCATGGGCATAATCAGATTAGGTACTAAAAGTTATGTTTTCACAAAATAACTTTAGGAAAAGTTAGCACACCAAAATCAAATATTGCAGGGAAAAAAAAAAAAAAACCCTTACTGATTCGGAATGTATTGATTCACTCAAAGCAAGTTTAAAGGCAGTTTGAAGGCAGGGCGTGAGTGAGTTTGCAGACTGCTCTGTGTTCTTGCTGGTGGACAGCCTTTAGATTCCAATGAGTCTGTACACGGTGACCACGTCCTACAGTAGTAAAGAAGACTTTAATTGAAGAAATTCTTGAAATTGACCCTTTTATGCAAGAAACAAATGTCTTTGTGAAAGGACTTATTTCTAAAATGACACAGCGCATTTGTTTTCTAAAACCCCAGTTGGAGCTACACCTGAGTCTCTTTCTAATAATGGCTTGAAGTCAATTTTTGAAAACAAGTATAATGTATTTTATATTGTTACTTTTCTCCAAGAATTTCAAGATCTGAGCCCTCAAACTATGTCCCAGTTCATTAATTTTCCTTATCGCGAGTATAAAGTTTAATTCCCTTAAACAGTTATTCATATCTTCAATCCCATCAACTCTATGTGCCCCCTCCTTGTCTTGGCTGTATGTGCAACCCGTTATGAACCTGCTTATCTGATAATGAGGCTGCCTGAAATTTTGTAAGTAATCTCAAACATTTGATACATTTAAACATGGGCTCAGTAAAATTGACAAGCTAATATATGATAGTGGCTTGTGAAGCTCTTTTGTCACCTAGCGAGGCTTACAGAATTTTGTTAAGACATTTAAGAGAGCTATATTCACTGGGCTCTTTAATAAGCATATAATCTTCCATTACTAATACTTTGTTAGAACACAGAAGAGCATTTTCCAGCAAACAAACTATATTTATTACATGTATAGCACATATTTGCATGAGAAAGAAAACATTAGCCAAACATTTTCCTGTATGCTTTACTGGTTTCTTGTTTGTGCGCATTAAAGCATTTAATTGCAGAGAGTGCACTTGGGTGTATAAATCTAGAGTAGACTGCTGTTCAGCTTTTTCTGCAGTAGCATTAGCAATTTGGTCATTTAACTACTTTAAGATATTTATATTTTATGGCAGGTAGCTGTAACAGCATTTACATATATTTCCTAGTCAACAAGGTTTCCATTTCTTTCAACTTTCAAGAGTCACTTGTTTTTCAAGCCTTCCAGCCTTTTTCTTTTTTCCCCTTTTTGGTATTACATGTCATGCTGAAAGAGGGAGACCCATTTAATCTGTGCACAAAACTCATCCATCATTTGCCATCAAAATTCCATACCTATTTTGCTTTGCAGCCCTATTAAAAAGCTAACAATATTGGAAAGGGTGAAATGTATATTTTTGATGAACATATTTACTGTTTCACTTTAATTTTGAATATCTTTCATCGTCCTATAAATTTCTCTCCTTCTAATGGGGAAGAGATATGACTCTTTTTAAAGGCTCAGAGTTGCTTGTATAAATGACGAAAATCCAGATATATACTAAATAAAAAGTTTTATTTCTGCCAAGCATATTCCACAGGTTCTTTTTAATAATACATTTCACTCAAAATGGCAAGTGATGACAAGCAGGAGAAATATTTCTGTATCTTTTGAGGCAGTTTTCACTTATAGAATAGACCACATTAGAATTCTGTGATTTTTCATCATATGTAATAATGCAGACATGTGCAACAATGTGGAAACGTGGTCCTGGAAAAGGAGGAAATGTAATTTGTGGGTCCTTTTGTTTATTTCCAAGGCTATGATGTGACTACAAGATCATAATCAACATGGTTACCTTGCTTATATTAACATTTAAAACAGCACAGAATAGTATTTTTAAATAACTATTTATGCTCTCTCATCTTTATATAGCTTACTGGGAAGAAGACTGAAATTGTTAGCAATTAGACTTATGGTCTTTCCTAAAAAGAGTCTCAATTGTCTGACTATACAAATCATTGCATCTCATCCGTAATGGAATGAATTTTAAAGTCTGAAAAAATTGAGACAATTATTTGTTCCACTTTAAATAATCTGTTATTTACTCGAATTATTATTGTTTGCAAAAATGTATTTTTAGAATGTTAACCTCTTTTCATACCTGCATACTTGAACTTGTCTTTTGTGTGGGGGCCTTAAATTTCATAATAGAGAACAGAGGAAGTAAAAAGGGAATGAAGACAAGGAAACTGTGGTAAAGATAGCTCACAATCTTCAACTCTTTAAATGAACATATCCCAAAATGTTGAAACATAGCATGTCAGTTAAGAATGTTTCCAAGCAACCTTAATTTGCAAGCTAGTATATTTTCTTATATAATTTTATTTTGATATTTGCTGGAAAAAAACAATACAATTACCACAATACAAATTGCCCTCTATTTGAGATGTGTACTACCTCCTTTCTAGAGAAAACAGTCTGTCTTTGAACGGAAAAGTCCTGGTGATAATGTCTATTCTACCAACCTTGCTGCAGCATTAGAAGAGTTAAACTATGCCTGCCCTCTAGACTTCACTCTGGTTTTAAATGCTCTCATCATGGTTTCATTTCTTCAGTGTTAGCAAGGTTTTCTTGAAATTGATCCACAGCTTATCGTGATATGAGTTTGACAAGCAGCAAAGCAAACTGAAAAGGAACTACCTCTGTGCAAAAAAAAAAAAAAAAAAAAAAAAAAAAAAAAAAAAAAAAAAAAAAATGTAGCCTTTAGCTCCAGGTTTAAGGAAGAGAAATTCAGAGATTTGATGTTTAAAGGCAGAGTTGGGTGAAGCTTGACTTCTCTGGGCACCAAGGGCAGCTGTGGACACTTATGGGCAGGGATCTGCATTGTCTGGAACTCCCATGTAATCGGAACAAGGTTCCTATCTGTGTTTTAAATAAATGATTACATAACCCTCATTCTTTCACAGTTGCTTTTGTCTCTCATGACAATATTACGTTTTTTTAATGATATAAAACCAATCCTTGAATGACCGTATGAGTGAAAATTTTACAGGAAATTAGGTAATAAAATCTGTATTATTAGTTCCTCACACCTTTAAATACTGTCAACACTGTAACTGCTACTTAGGTTAGTTTTTCCAGCTGTGTCTATATGGCAAACAGCAGTCCTCTTTGAAATAATGATGATCAAATCAGTCAACTTAAGAGCTGCTGGGTGGACTTTAAGAATAACTTCTTGTTGAGTAAAGAAATCCAGTTAATCCAAATAGTGAAATGGACTTATATGGGCAGATAGCTACAGCATTCAGAAACTACTCTTCAAGCTTTCTTCTTTTGTAAAAGGACCTTTCTCCAATGAAATGGAACCTCTGATAGCAATGTCTCTATTTGTGGGTAAATTAATACCAAATGCTGCATGTAATGAAGGTGTATTATGAGATGATTAGAAAGTATATCATCAGATAATATTACTTAAGGGCTGTAACTCCTACTTGCCATAAATACATATACATAAGAGGGAATAGTGCTAAGCTTCGGTGAATTATAACTTTTCATGAAACTTTCTTTTTGGTGAATGTAAAATGTTCACAAAAAGAGGGGAAAAAATGTTACCAATGAATTTATAGTAGTTTAGGGACTATGCTGACTCTTCCTTGTTTGAAAATTATAAAGACTTAAAATGATAACTGAGTATCAGGTTTCTAGCGTTTCAAGCATTTGGGGTTATATTTTGAACACTTAAAATCTCCCAACAGATGCAGGGGCCTTTCTTGCCCTACTTGCATGCCACTTCACACACTTCACCAAAATCAGTGTGAATTCCGTATGCACAGGGGTGTTACAGAGATGGGGTCATTAATGCTATATCGTTGCATACTATTTTTCATATGCCTTACAGTATTTTCTGGGATGTTATTAAAATGAAAGCATTTTATTGCCAAAATAAATCTATGTTGTTACTTCTGCATTAGCAGTAGAAAATAATGTAGCAAAAATATATATTGTACAGTACAAAATTATAGTATATATATATATATATTTTGCCAATAAATGAAAATAGATTGAGGAGAAAGAAGCACATTTGTTATAGCACAAACTTACAACAAAACCCACTGTTAAATTTGGCAGTCCTGTTTTTAGAAGTCTGTAAATTCGGTTCTGTGTTTTATCAGATTTATTTCATCTCTCATCTTTGTAATTTTGCTGCTTGATACTTTCCAGCAATTTATTTCATAGACTTGCAATCTGTAGGTGTAATTTACTCATTTTACTCCCTTACATAAAACACGGCAACTTTATTTTGTGTTAAGACTCATACTATATTACTATGTTTTCTATTCCTGTTTCTCCTCCTTTGGTAACAGATGGCACCGCGTGAGCTCACGGGCTCCTCTGGGCTTTGGATGTTTGAGAGTGTATGTTTTTTCCCAGCCTCAAGTTAGAGATCAGTAAAATGTCCCCATGGAAAAATACTAAGTAGGACTTCTTTGTTTTCTTTTCCACTTGATAATATTTGAAGCATAAGTTAAAGTTATTAGCTGTATATTTAAGAGGTGGGAGGGAATAAAAATAAACGTTATTAATAGGAATCATACTAAAAATAACTACGGCAAAATGGTATTAAAAGATTCCCCCTATTCTGAGGGCTGTTGGTATCCCAGGCTATTCCTATGTCTCTGCTGATGTGGTGGGGGAAATGCCTTTGTCAAATGACTTTCCTTTTCTTTTGGTTATTTATTTTAATAATTTGTCCCTTTTATTTTGGTTATATAGATATGCGTAACGTTCTACAAGGCATGCTGGGTAAATACACTATGCAAATGTATACCGTGCTGCATGCTTTGTTCTCCCTCTGCTTTAGTGGCTTTAAAGGAAAAAAAATGTGGTGTTATTTTTGTGAACAAAGACATTTAACAAAAAAAAAAATGCAGAGTGCATGCATAAAGTATCCTAATTTCTATGGATTTGTTTTATGGAATTTAAATGTGTACAAAAACTGCATTAATTTTTTTATATAATAAATGAAAAAAAAAACACTGAAACAAGCATTCTACCTCTCATTTATATTCTGGAAATATACAGAGGAAATGCCAGAAATCATAAAGAATATTCCTGTAGCTTTTAATGTAAAATAAATCTACACATTTACTCCTTGAGGAAGAAAAAGATTCAATGAAGTGATCCTTTCCTAATTATCCTGCTACAGCCTATGCGTTCTCACAAAAGAATGTTATATTAAGAATGTCTAAGTTGCACAGACATGAAAGAAGTGAAATATACCCAAAAATGTGTGAAATAAAGATTACAGAAAATATACTAGATAAACATAAATGTCCTCAAGACACCCTTAAATGTTTTATTGTGGTAGTTGCTAGAAGTTTCCAGAATGACAGCTCTGGTATTCTTTTTTTTTTAATGGTGGAAAAAGTGTATATTTAGAATTAGCCAGCTGGACTCAGTTTAGATGATCCCAATCTTGTTGGCAAACCCAGAGCATCACAATCAGGAGCCAACCGAACACACACCTTCTTCTCTCTGTAGGCCTTATCAGGGTATTAACTTTGGCCACATCGATGCCACACAGTTTCTTCAGGGCCTGTTTGATCTGGTGCTTGATAGCTTTGACGTCCACAATGACAGCTCTGGAATTCTATGGTTGTTACACAGATTATGCCTGGATCTTTCTCACACACAACCCAGAGTTAGTTGCCTGTGTCTGTAACGGGATTGGAATTTGATTTTTATCTCATTGTGGCACAAAAGAAGTTGAAGGGAAATATGTAAGGTGTTTGTAGAGTTAGAGATATAAAGTGACGTCCTACAGCCAAGTTGATTCCACAAACTTTATCACGTTTAATTCTGAAAAATCAGGCAGTGTCAGTTAATAGTCCCAGATACAAGAAAGCTCATTGTCACTTTTTTTTTTTTTTTTGGAATCATTAAAAAAAAAAATAATACAAGCATTAAATGCTCTCCAGCTAGGTAGTAACCTGAAGCATACAGAGCACTGTGCAAATACAGGCTGTTGGCTGTCTGAATAATTATGTTTTTGGAGGAGTCTTAACCTAAGACCATGTCAACAATCAGCCAACAACTCGCAACTGGAAAACAACAGCCCCTTGCTGTTCCATTAACAGGGTAGCTACATGAGACTACCTCTCCTGTCATTAGCACATTTCCATTGGGCTCTAAAAAGAAATCTCGTCTTTTCGTAGAGCATACAGATCAGCACAGTAGTTTAATGGTGGACTCTAAGCACTGCCTTCCAGCGATAACTAACTACGAGTTATTAAATGTCCCTGTGTTTGGATCTGTTACACTTGTATATTCCTTGCCCGACCAGTAAAGTTCTATTAGGTTTACAATATTGTAAATTATATTAGTCACGTCTACTTCACGTATTCCCTTGTGGAACATTAATCTTATTTCAACAGGCAGTTGCTCACTTGGCCGAAGACTGTCCTCAGACAGGCCCCTTTAAAACTGGGGCAGGAGGTAGAAAAAACTGGTCTCAATTCAGGTTCATTCTTGGGCTTAGCTCCTCTTTTAACATCCAGGCATCTACTGAATGTCCTATGTGTGAATTTTCTCTAACTCTCCGCTCATATTATATTAATGACCCCTGACTCTTTGAAACAATTATGTGGAGATTATTTTTGCAATAATCCTGGTATGTTTTTTCCTCTAGAAATTGTTACTAGCCAACTACCTATGTTTTCATCTTATACAAGTCATGGAACTAAAGACCTAATAGTCTTTAGCCCGATTTCTTTCTTTCCTCTCTCTCTCTCTCTCTCTCTCTCTCTCTCTCTTTCTCTCTTTGACTCTGCTTCCCTAATCCCAGCCTCCCTGAGCACGGAAACACAGAGCTGTGTCTTCATGGTAAGAAACTGTCCTACTCTGATTTGGCCTTCCACTCCCTCTGAAGTTGGCTAGAGATTGTTTTTGCTAAGGGAGAAATGCAGGACAATGGTGAGGCTCAATGTTTCTCTTTAGTTCGGAATCACAGTCCAGAGGTTGTTTTCCAATATCTGGTAACAGTTGTTTCTTGTGTTGTATCTGCTCCTTACCAGTAGAATGGTAAACCAGATGTTTTACTGTCTAATGCCTGAAGCAGAAGTCTTTTATGGCATTTTTTTGCTCATGAGTTTAAAAGTTGATAAAATGTTTAGGTCTCAGAAAAAGAAACAAATAGTTTGATATCCCTCATCAAAGATTCCCAGTTACAACTATAGTACCAATTTTGTATTTTATTTATTAAAGTCAACCAAAATACTACTAGCCAAATCACCACCCCCCCCCCCCCCCTTTTTGTGAGGGACACTTGGAAAATAGTCCAGGAGACCATTTCCTTAATACAGTTCTAAAGTACAGAACCATAACTTCACAAGTAACTATGGGTCTGGCTTACGTTACTAAATTGCCAAAGACGTGGGAGTTTGCAGAATGTCTCAAGAGTTGCTAAAGCACTGCCTACACTGGATGAGAATGGAAATACTAAAAGAGTTCATGTAAGTCGGTTATGCAAACATTGATTTTTCTAAACTTCCTATAGGCTATTAAGTAAATCCAGTTAATGTGCAGTTAACTGGTCTAATGATTTTATTCTCCTTTATGTATGTCTCCTCTAAGACTGGCATTTGAACACAAGCCCCCGAAGAAGATGAAGAACTCTTTTTTCTGTATATTGAGATAAGACCGTATGTGGTTAGGAGGAGTCAGGTGGAAGGGTATAGTGTTTCATTTCATGTGGCTGTTGAGGATGAGGTGGTGTTGGGAACAGCTCAAAGTGCCTTTCGCAAGTCTCCTGCATTTTTCTGTCTCTACCTTTTCTTTCCTTCTTTCCTTTTAAAAATCAAAGTTAAAGGAAACAAAAAGAAATGAAGCTGCTTCTGCTTTTCGTTTGTTTATTTTTGTGGAAGAAGTAAACAAACACGGTTCTTCTTTGAGGCAAAACTATACAGTCATCAGGTAATTTCTCATGGATCAACTCTGCTTGTACATCAGAAATATTGCGACCTACCATGCTTAGCTAAAAACAAAACAATTCGGGCAAGAACTCTTCTGATCAAGTTCACCAGCAATTACCTACATTTTAGTTTTCAACCACTTACCCTGCCAGCAGCGGAGGCAGGGCTGGATCCAGTGGAGCAACAGTTCAAACTGTAGGCGAGAAGACCGAAGAACACAGAGAGTATTTATAGGCCATCTATTTGAAAGAAAGGTGACTCTTGAGAGAGAGGAAAAGACATCTGGGATCATATCATAAAGACCAGTGAGTGTCTTGTCTACAGTGTTTTTGGACTCTACCGCTCAGTTCAAACAGTCTTTGTGACCATTAAGGTTTTTAGACTTGAGAATTGTTCTAGCCAAGCGGCCTAAGAGTAGAGGGAGATTGGAGAGGGAAGAGCTCTGAGGTGCAAAGACGCAGGTATGAAAAACTGCAAAAACAACAACAAAAGCCAACGACTTCAGCTGCTGTCTAGGGGTAATGGGCTCAAAAGGGACTTAAGGCTTACCGTCCTCGGGGCCCAAACCTGGGACTTTTGGTGGTGTGTGTAAGGCCAGAGATGGGCATGGATACGTATGGTGGCTCCAGGCTCAGAAACAACCTCCAACCTGGATGCCATTACACGGATCCCCCGCGCAGCCCTCCGCCAGCCCACGGTGCTGCAGAGAAGCCTCCTGGCCCCGCGCACCCCGCCTCCGGCTCCACGCCCCGCCTCCGGCTCCAGCCCCGCCTCCGGCTCCACGCCCCGCCCCTGGCTCCAGCCCCGCCTCCGGCTCCACGCCCCGCCTCCGGCTCCAGCCCCGCCTCCGGATCCAGCCCCGCCTCCGGATCCACGCCCCGCCTCCGGATCCACGCCCCCGTCTCCGGCCCCGCGCCTGCGCGCTCCCCTCGCTCCGCCCCGCGTCTGCCTTAGCGGCCACCGGAGAGGAGCTGGGGGAGGACGGTGGCCCGCGAGGCTCGAGCAGGCAACGCGGCGGCGATGTCCGCGAGGCCGGCGAGCCCCGCGGCGGTAGCGGCGGGGCCTCGCGCGTGGCTGGGCGGCCTGTGCTGCGGCCTCCCCGCGGGTCCCTGGGAGCGGGCGCGCGGCCGGCGTGGGAGCAGAGGCGGGGGTCCCGGCGCGTCCTTCTGCCCCGCAGCCTGAGCCCGGGCGGCTGGAGGGCTCGGCTGCCCGAGGATGGGAATTCTCTTCACCCGGATCTGGAGGCTGTTCAATCACCAGGGTGAGGCTGGGCCTGGCGGGGAGGTCCCGGAGGATCGCCTTTTGTCTCCCGGGAGCTGGGGAGAGGTTCCTCCCGCCGTACACCCATTGCTCCGATTGGATCGCGAGCGCCAAAGGTGTCCTGCCCCACGCCGGGCCCCCCGCGGACGGCCTGGCTCGCTTGCATCCCCGTCCCCTGCCGGCAGTTTATGTTTGGGCCGCACGGAGAGCATCTGGGGTTCGGGGGTGAGCACGGCGGGCCCTGGCCCTCGCGGCGCCTCCGAGCCACGGTATGCAGGATGCGGAAAGCTGGAACTAGTGCAGGACTCGTGGTTCGCTTTGGGCGGCGCACTTCGGGGGGTGAAGGGGAGGGACGGGGAGACCCACGCCGCGGAACTGTGATGGGTGCCTCGCCTTTGCCTTGTTTGCTTCTGTAGTAAAGGTCAAGCCTAAGGTCGTTTTCCTTCTTGGGTTATTAGAGAATTTGTTCTTTTTTTTTTTTTTTTTTTTTCTGGCCCTAGTTGAAGTGTTTCACTGAAGGCTTTTAAAACATACTTCGGGAGTCATCCGTTAGCGTTAGGTAACTAGCAGGTTACTGTTTAAGTTTGCCTAAACGCAGACATTGCCACGGAATGCATAGAGGACTTATACAAAATATTACAAAATGAGTGTGTGAAACTGGAGAGAATATATAGTGCTAACATAGTTACTGAAATGAAATGTGATTTTTTTTTTTAAAAAGCTCTACTTGCAGTTCATTCTTTCTGTCAACAACGTTCTCTTTTTCTCTTGTATAAACTGGAAGCCTTGTCGCACCCCCACTTTTTCCAGTTAAAACTTAATGAGCGGTGGTGCCTACTATTTAGTCCTCTTGCTCCTCCTCCAGGATAGAGTTGGCTTTATGGGAAGCGAGCAGACTGGGCCTTGTAATCCCCGGTGGGTTTTACTTTCTTAATAATAATTTCTTCAAAAGAGAGTTTAGATAATGATACTAAATGAAGTGGAAGGCGATAAAGAGGTATTTCCATCAGCACTGTCTGGGCCGCAGAGCGGGGGTTACTGGTCTCAGTGGCCTCACAATTCTGTGGGTTTATATAGCATCATCTAGAACAGGAGGAATTTGTGGGGCCTACAGTTTTTGAAAACTTAATCTCTAGGTTTGAAGTACTAAAGGTTGTAAAACTGGCGATGTCAGTGTGGGCAGTGTGTATCTAGTTTTGTCCTCTATAATCTTGAATTTAGTGAAGCTAGTGTTTTAGTTCTGCCGTGAGGTTTAGAAACACATTGTGCATTAAAGGGTCTCTGGCACTGCCTTCACTTTCTTTGAGTCAATGATAAAACTGTCTCTGTAACTTAAAAAATGAATTCGAACTTTAAAAGAAACCCAGCTGGTTGCGAGCAGTTAACAGGAATGTGTTTGGTATCACTACAGAACTTATGATCTGCGTTTTGTAGTAGTTTGCCTAAACATTTACTCTGTGCTTGAAGATTAACAAGAGAATGACTAGAGTTCAGTTTCTAGGATCGTACCATTCAGTATAGTGAAATTGTGAAAAAATTATATGTTCCACGATAAACAGTCTGTCCCCAGCCCGGTAGCTTCATGGTGTTCACTGCTCAGGTCAGACACTTGTTGGTGTTTTGGACCTGTGTTAAATGGCACACATAAGCTAAGCCTGTCTTTTGTGTGTTTATTTTACAGAAGATTCAGGACACATTTCTGTCTTCTTTTCACAGAGACTTGCAGGGAGAGGCTTTGAGTAATCGCAGTTTGCCATGTTGCTGAACTGAGAACCGTGGCAGCTGTCTTCTCAAAGAGCAGCCTGCTCGGTTAAAGCAGCGATGAGTGAGCATCAGGGTGAGCTGCCCACTGCTCAGCCGAGAAAACCAAGGTTATGTTTAGGTGATTCAGTAGAGCTCAAACTTTATTCTAGGTATTGTAATTCTTTTACATCATAAAAAAAATATCTGAAGCCGGGGAGGTAGCCCCAGTTGTAGTGCGCTCACCATTAAACCACCTGCAACCAAGAGACAACAGAGGATGTGGTGGGCTCACCTGTGAGCCCATCACTCAGGATGGCCTGGCTAGATAGTGAATTCAAGGCCAACCTGGGCTACTGGGAAAGAAGAAGCAGGCTTGGGCGGCTTCCATCAGTTGGATAAGGAAACAACAAGTGTGTTGTTGCTCGTTGGTCCTTTTAAGAAGACGCTGACATCTTTTTTTCTTTTTCTCCCTGTTGATTCAGTTGGTATGTTGTGAGTCTTTAGATCTAGGCTTGCCACCAGTGGCTCTGTAAAAAAGAGCTTGTTATCAGTGTTTTGTTAAGTAACAATTCATAACAGCAAAATTACAGTTACGAAGTTAGCCGTGAAAAGAATTCTATGGTTGTCATCAGAACAACATGGGGAACTGTATTAAAGGGTCGCAGCACTAGGAAGATTGAGAACCACTGCTCTGGGTGGTGGGAATAAGGCAGAGAATAAAACAGCCAAATCTTCTGGCCTTCATGAAGCTTTGATTGTAGTCCAAGGCAGCAGAAAAGGAACTCAGCCCTTCTCTGTGGATAATGAGCAGCCGATAGGATTAGTGACTTGCAACACCAGATTCCAGGTGTTTCACCCCGGTTGGTTAGTCTGCCTCAGTTGCATTACTCCTCGAAACTTTCTGTTTTGCAAATACACAGTAGGGCATTGTGCATTTAAAGTGATAGGCCTGAGATTTTAAGCAAGGATCTCCAGTGCCAGCGTGTCCTCTCCACCACCACCCCTAAACGTGCGCACACACAGTTATGAGAGGAGAGCCTCTCTGGCATCGATGTAGACTATAAAATGTTGAGGAATTTCCTTCTTGACAGCCTCGTGTGATCGATCGCTCTGCTCATTGGCTGTCTGAAGCTATGAATGAGTGCTGATACAGCTGCTCCTTCTGCGTAGACCTGATGTTGGGGAGGCCACCCCTGTTCTTGGCTTTGCTCTTCTTTTCAAGGCAATTCAAACGTTCAGGAGAGAGAGCAGGAAGGTGACCCCCAAAGGAGCAATTGGACCTCTTCTGGAGACTGGCTCTTAGGCCCCAGTGCACCCTGTCCACAGTCTCTGGTCAGTGGGTACATAGACAAGCTCACTGGAGGGCCATTGCAGGAGGAAGTGCTTGTTCCTGGTGACCGTGTGCTCTCCAGATAAGCCATTTGCAGCACATTCACCTTTACCCTTAGTACCTGGTTCTTGTGTGGCATAGTGATTAATTTTTATCTTCTTGCTAGTCTCTAGTTCTAATAGGTACTAGATACTTCCATTGTAAAACTTCCCAACCTCAAATTACTACGTGATTTCTGTCTCCTAATGGGTCTCTGATTTTGCATCTTTAATTGTTTCTCCCCCCCCCCCCGAAATTTCTTAACCTCTGAGCCATCCCTCCAGCAACCAGAAATTTTTTAAATGCAGGTCTTTGTCCCTGAAATCATCACTCTTCTGTAAATTAGCAAGCTTATTTTTAGCTTATTTTAAACAATAAAATTTATAATGTTCTTAAATTGCATTTTTAGTACAAAATAGCTTGATTAGATAGTACTTTTCAAACCCTTGTATTCTTTCAGGCAGATTTTTTTTGTCCACTACAAGATACTTCATTAAGCACATGCTTTGCTCAGGCTCTGTGCTAGATGAGGGAACGGTAGTGAACGTGGCAAATGGAGCTTTGCCTGAGCAGGTGTGTCCAAGCTGTTGATATTGGGACACAATTTGTCATCTGCAAAGTTCAAACTCAGCTGCATGGTCAAACTAAAAAAAAAAAAAAAAAAAAAAGTCAGAAAAAGTTCGTAGTATTTTAAATAAGTTTATGGGTTTTGTGCTAGGTCATATCGTAGAATGACATGCCTATCATATCTAGACCCATTAAGGCTCAGTGATAATTTGGTTTTGAGGTGATGGTGTTTGTGTTTTCCGACTTTGTGTGATTCATAGAGAGGAGGTTTTTAAATGACAGTTACTTTTTATTTTATTTCATTTTTTTGATAGTTTACTGAGTGGTGGTCAGAAGGATACAGACATAGACAAGATTAATTTACTGAGTGGTAGTCAGAAGGATACTGACATAGACAACAAGCGGACTAGTAGACTGCCTGGCTGTGTCAAAGAAAATGAAGGAGGAAACACAAGAAGTGTTTTTATGAGAAAACAATGTTGATTGGAAAGGTAAAGCCTGGATCAGGCTCAGAAGCCCAGCAGAGAGTAAGAGTGTGGTTTGGGCTCTCCTGAGTGCCAGAGCCTTTTAAATGAAGTCACACAGAGAAGCAAGGGCAGTGAATCACCCGTGTCAGAGCTGGACCAGCCAAAGTCCGATTGACATTTGTCCTTAGTAACATTACCTCCTAATATGCTTGCTATATTTCTGGGTCTGTGGAGTATTTGTCCTGAAGCACATTATAAGACAGAAATTATAACACATGTTGGAATTTACATTCTCTATAGAGACCATTACGTCTGGTAATGGGGAGGGCAGAGTGCTGAAAGGCTGTGAGGGGGTGATTTAGTATTAGAACACGTATGGATGATCTAATCCTATACCGGGGATAAGCTAGCTTGTGACTATTGCGTTACCACCTTATTTTACACAACTCTGTCTAAATGTTACAGTTCTCATCATGACTCATACACGCCCTATCTTTGATCTAGGAAGCTACCAATATAAGATGGTCCTTGCTAGCTTATTGTACACACATTCCCCTCTGTTAAAGTTGGAAGTGACCTTAGCTTGTGGACAGGAGGCTGGGGGGGGGGCTCTGCTGGATTACAGATTTTTTGGGTTGCACTTCTGAATTTTTGTTGTTGTTTTGTTTTATTTTCTAGCCTGTGGCTATTTGGAGAGTTTCTTAAGTTGTGCACATGATTGCTTTGAGTTTCTTCTTTCTTTTCTATAATGTCACAGTAACCTTCTGTGTTATTAGCTTACATTCCCTGTGTTGACAGTTTAGAAATCTCAGTCAGGGTGTGTATTTATGTATTTGGTGGTGGTATAAGACATGGTTAATTTTGTAAAGTTAGAAGAGTGCTGTTTCACAGTGGAGAATGGTGCAAGCAAAATTAAATAGGAAGTTGATGGGATAATGTGGAGACTAGGTATACTGACCAGCTGTCTGGATTTTAGTGGCCAGCCAAGAAAGGAATTAGGAGATTTGGATTAAGACATTTACCCTCTGTCATACTCATCCCATTTCACCTTGTTCCCAGTGATGTAATCTCCATTCTCCTATCTGCTTTATCAGCACGGGACATAGAAGGACATGTGGCCTCCACAGCTTCTGACTTTGGGTAGTCCCATCACCTTCTTATTGTTCCCCAACCCTAACTTTTGCCTGTTAGGGCTTCCCTCATTCCCAGTCTTGTAGAATAGAAAAAAATGGTTCTTTTTGCCAACTAAATCTGTTATCCAGCATGATTGGATTTTTCCATTTTGGATAGTCTTACCTGTTAAAAACTTTCCACCATGCCTCCTAATAAAGATTCTCACACTGTCATCCTTCATATGCCCAAATGAAATTCTTGTGTGTGCTCCACTTCTGCCCTGTTACTGCATAGTGTTTCTGTTCAGTATGCTTGCTTGCTCTGTCTGCTCAGCATGTGGCCAGGTGTGACTCCTCCCCCCTCCCAAAAATGCTCTCAGGCTTTTGGTGTTTTGTTTTTGTTTTTGTTTTGTTTTCTTTTTTGATATAGATAATCCTTCTAGGAGCTAAGAAAAACAGTGATTTTAGAATCAGGACATAAGTCCTTGAAGGCATAGCTAAAGATAACAAAACAAAAACAAAAAACCAAAACCAGATGAGGGTTTCTAATATAAAAGCTATTATTTTAGGAAACCAGATAGTTTCCTGCCAGTGTCTCCCCTATTCAGTGTCTCTTTAGAAGCTCAATTTAGATGTCACTGAAGACAAGTAACGATTCTTTATTGCATAAGGGTCATACCTCATTTAACAGTAAGCTAGGCTACCCTTTCTCTGGTGACCAAGATGGTGCTAAGTACCCTCTTTAAAACTCAGATTCATCTTTAGAAGTTAAAGGATTTGTCACCATTGAGAATGTTTAGGACAATATACTGCAGGCTTTGGAAGCAAGAACGACAGGAAAGCATCAGAACCTTTTGAACAGTAATGGCATTGCTAACATGCCTGTTCATAACCTCCTTACGTGATTAGGGTCTGTGTAAAACAGATCATGTGTTAATCACCTGTGGGTACATTATTCACAAACATGCATGGTTAAGTCATTCTTTACAGTTATTTACCATAGAGTCTTGTATTTTGTATTACTTTTGGACTGGTCCTGTTTCTTTTGTAATGTTTTAAGGACACCATTTCTTTCACTGATGATTATAAATTTGTTTTTCTTTCTGAGTACTGGAAAGAAGTCTATCTGAATTTTGACCTGTAGCTAATCATGTATTTCTTCAAGTTAAAACTAAACTGATATTTTAGAAAGGCTCTAGTTTGTTTTCAAACTGAGTCTCACTCTGTAACCTTTGCTATGTAAACTGTGCTAGCCTCCAACTCACCTGCTTCTGCATCTGGAGTGCTGTGATTAAAGAATTATGCCTCTACACCCAGTCCAAGACGCTCTAATTTAAAATCAATATTCAACTAGGGTATTTTCTTGTTGTTAGAGTACAGTTGGGGGTGCTTATATTAACAGAATTGAAGAAAGCTTCCATCATCGAATGGGTAATGCTTACATTTGCAAGGAAAAAAGTAAAATTAGAAAGGCCAACTTGTGCTAGTTAGAAACTTAACAAAAGGTACGCCAGCTGCAGAACCCAGCTGTTTGTTCCTGAGGCAGATGTGGCCCTAGCGTGAAGTAGCATTGATGGTCGTGAAGCCTATAACATGGCTGGAATCCCATGCTTCTCAGGAGTTTTCTGATTTTAATTTATCCATAAAATATACTTTCACCCTGACAGAATTGGTCATTGTTGTTTTATAATAATCACACTAAAAATAAAGTTTTATATATAAGTATATTTAATCTAAAATTTGTAAGTCTTGGGAGCAGCTGTTAGGTTGGCAGTGTCTATAGCTTATAGGTAGTAAGCCAGGGTTAGGGAACTATACTGTCAGCCAAGTGAGCTTGTTTTTTTGTTTGTTTGTTTGTTTGTTTTGTTTTGTTTTTAAGAGAGAGTGTCTTACTTACCATATTTCCTGGTCCAGCCTAGAACTTTGCGATCTTCCTGTTAGCCTCTCAAGTACCTGGGGCCATTCCTGGCTTGTAATTTCATGTGAAATATTTGTCTATATTGTACGTACTGGGGTTCTTCTGTGTCACACATTTTTTGTATTACTCTTCCTGCATTTGTGTATTCTGGGATAGTAGCAGGGTTGCGTTTGTGGACTCAGGAGAGTTTACGGTTACCCGTGGAACGAGCTCTTCCTCCTTATTTTTTACACAGCACACGGATATACACATCAAACTTTGGTAACTAAGGCATCCGTAGTTGTTGTGACTCCATTTGGGGACATTTTGCCAAGCATAGACTTCCCTAGGCCTAGAAAGAGAAAGTGCTTCTGAGGACCTGGAGAGGTTGTTGGAAGGATGAGGGGTGTCTGTGTAGAGCAAGGAGGGGCAAAGAGAATGAGCCTAACAGCACACTCCTTGCTTGTTGGAGTGTTCTTTTGAGTTCTAAGAAGGTTAAAAAGTGTTATGCAGTGACATACCACAGAAACAATGAAAAGTGAAGCGGGGGATCTATGTGTGTATTTCTAAGTCTCTTGTTGGTTTTTATTTCAGAGCACAAAGTTATCATTGTTGGGCTGGACAATGCAGGGAAGACTACCATCCTATACCAGTTGTGAGTATTAAGTGCTTAAAGTTATTGTTATTTCTAGTTTGTTCTGCTTTTGTGGTATTTGATAGATGAAATCAATGAAAAGTTATGTGGATTCAAGTAGAGTAACCATAAGCCAGATCCAAATTTAAGCAAGTGTGTGTGGTGAGCTAGAATTTTACATAACTTCAAGCATGCTCATTGTTTTGTAGTGAGCCTGCTCTTAGAAAACAGGAAAATATTTGTTCATACACTTTGCCAGAATGATCTGTGATGTTCTAAAGCCATTATTTATTTTGAGCTTTGTTTATATCCTTAGCTGATTCATTGTATGAGCTCACAGAAAAAGAACACTGGGGTATGAAATAGAGAAGTCATGCTGACTTGTCCCTGATGTACAAATTCATGAGATTAGCTAGCTTCCTCGTAATTTTGTGGATTTTTCCCCTCCTAGTTCCATGAATGAAGTTGTACATACATCCCCTACAATAGGAAGTAATGTGGAAGAGATTGTGGTTAATAATACACGTTTCCTGATGTGGGATATTGGCGGCCAAGAATCCCTGCGTTCTTCCTGGAACACTTATTATACCAACACAGAGGTAACATTCTTAATGCCGATGCTCACATGAGCATTCTGAGTCCTTGAGAAGCATTCAGATTTGAATCCCTACAGTCCTTTACAAATAGGACAGCAGTTTGATTTTAGAGTGCAAGCATAGTAGAGTCTTCCATTCCTTGTTTTAAATCTTTGACTTCATATGCATCATTGAGTCTCTGTAAGGAGAATTGGTGGTTGATCAGTTGGTCGGGTTACTTGATCCAGCAGTTATTTTAAAATGACTTGCATTTCATGATTTCTGATTGTTTTTTCTTCTTGCTATTTATATGTGGCTAAGGGGGAGAAATCCTGGCCAAGTGGAAGGGCTCTTCTGTGGTTTGAGTCCTCGCCAGTTTTTGCTGTGTATTTTCTTTTATACAGTGCAATTGCAATTAAATCCTTTAATTATAAGCATTTTAGGCATAATCATATGGTTTTATTTACGTGTTATGTTCCAAGAAAAAATTTCAAACCTGTGACATTTACATTCATTGCCTAGGCCTATAAATTGAAAAGTTGCACCAGTTGTTCTTATAGTGTGTATTATAAGGCTTTAAAAATATGTTCATATGTAAAGCTGATATTTAAGTCATTAATGATACCACCAATTGTCTCTCATGGCCTGGCCCCAGTACTCCATTAACTTTTCATCAGCTGTTTGGAGGACTTATATGTGTGGCTTTTAAAGGTGTATGTAGTGCCCCACATATAATGCTGCAGATGTTCACTTGTGTCGGCCTTGGGAAAGTTTTATTATAATACCATCTAATAGAATGAGCATCACAATAATAGTCTTCTGCCAGTAAGCTATCAGATGAAATCTTACAGTTGGTGAAAACTGAAGAACAGAAAAGACTGAAAACCACAGTGTTTTATTTGGAGATTATTACCTAGTCCTAAATAATATAATTTAAAAATATGTTTTAGTAATAGGTAATGAGCATTGTAAATGACCACACATTTGCTGTGTCCTTCTTGCCATTGGTGCCCTTGGAGTTTGGGGTGTGGTGGGGTCCTCTCCATAAGCACCATCATCTCATCATTTGTTCAGTGCAGAGCTGTGCTTGCAGGTAGCAGGTGTCCTGGGCATAAGGAAGCACTTGTTTTTAGATGCCAATTGATATTTCCAATTTGTTAATTTCTTTATCTCTCACATTATCCTAATTCATATACGCTTCTGGGTTTCAAAAGGTATTAATTAGTAATACTTGTCTGGAAGCAACTTAAACTTAGAACCTTAAGTGTTTGGATTTTTTTATGGAGTTTCTTTGTTTTAGTTTTGTTTGAAATTGTATGATGGGTAAATAAAGGGATATAGGCCCTGTATAGGGACATAGTATTCATATAGTTCCTATAGTAATTTTGAAAAGAAAAAAAAGTGTTCTATTTTGATTAGAGTGTTTGCATCATATTCTCTTCTTTTGTTTTCCTTAAAAATTGGTAAATGAGTTTGAGTTAGAATGAGTCCTTAGGCTTTACAGTGAGTCTGCTAAGCAGTCCTGGTTCTCTACCATACAGTAGACCGCATGTCTTGATATCAGTGTCATATAATTAAATAAGTACCTTATGACTTTTCAGATACCAAATTCCGTAAGTCACTAATGATTTTTTTTGGTAATCATTTTAGTTTGTAATTGTTGTTGTGGACAGCACAGACAGAGAAAGAATTTCTGTAACTAGAGAGGAGCTCTACAAAATGCTAGCCCATGAGGTAAGTCTGCGTTTGGTGGTAGTCGGGATGGGCATTCTGTCATTTCTTTATGGTCTCTCATGAGTATTTCAGTTAAAAAATTATCTGTTGGTCATGGCTACTTGTCATTCATGTTTTATGATTATGTTGCTCCCCAAATTTCAAGTGCGTCTAGAAACAGGAGAAAGATTATGCAAACAAACATAGTCTGATATTTAGCTTCAAAATCTAATTTAGAGGTTTCACTGGGCAAAAAGAATTTCTACAAATAGTTTTTATTTTACATTTCAGGCATATTATTCATACAGAGAATTATCATTTGACAGGCACATCAGAAGAACCTGGATGTATAACAGTTCTTGAGTGTTCTCTGTTATCAGACTAATATTTAAACTTAGTTGCTCTTAATTTTTTTCTTTAAATCTTATCTCCTTTACCAAATAAAATATAAATGACTAGCTTATAATTATGCTAAGTTCTTCAAAATACTACTAATTCCAGTATTTAAAATTTAAATAAGTTAGGGCTGTGGGTATAGCTCACTGGGAGAGTATTTGCCTGGCATGCATGAAGTCCAGGCCTTCGCTGTCCTGAAACTTACTATGCAGACCAGACTGGCCTCAAACTCAGAAAGATCCTTGCCTCTGCCTCTGAGTACCTAAGGTGTACACACACAGCCAGAGGCTTTGAGTCTCTATAGTATACTCCCTATTGCAAAAAAAGAAATGCCCTTCATAGCTTACTGAAGCTGATAGCAACAGTAATCTATGAATGTTTAAAAAGCGTTTTGACAGGCAAGTTACATTAATTTAAGAAAACAGTAGCAATGCCCTTTCTTCAGGGGCTTGTTCCTTGCCTGGGGTTTTGTCTGGTTTACAGCACTGGTGAGTTTTGTCCAGTAGACTGGGACTTAAATTCAGTTGTAAAGCAATAGGTTGTACCCATAATAGTCATGCCACTGTTGTACCAATAGGCACACATTTTCTCTGGCATGATACTACTGTAGTACACAGGATACATAGTCAGCCAGATTGCTGGTGACAGTTCTTCCTCTAGCAGCCCACAAAGTACCTTCTAGCACTATGACAACCAGCCATTAGGAAAGGAGCCAATTAATAACACCTGATATCTCCATATCTTGTAGCCAGAGCATGCATTTTCCTCAGCAGTATGGACTCTATGCAGCCAAGAGCAGTAGCATAGCTTTGTAGTTTGTGGGGCCTCAGGGTCTCCCTGGCTGACAGTTCGTTGAGAGGTTGTCCAGCTCTGGTATTTGGATTTTTGCCCAACAACCTTGTGGCTCCTAGAAGTGCCCTACCCCACTCACACAGTGTCTTCTTGGTTTCTTTTCTGTTGATGTAATAAAAATACTCTGACAAAAGCAGCTTAAGGGAAAATAGTTTGTTTTCGCTTACAGTTCCAGAAGGATATAGTCAGTCATGGTGGGGAAGACACAGCAGCATGCAGGAGCCTGGCTGCTCACATCACACCCACGTTCAAGAAGTAGAGAATATCAGCGGGAAGTGGGCTTTGTCAGATGGCTTCAAGGCCTACCCCTGGTAACTTAGTTCCTCCATCTAGGCTCTGTTCTTAAAGTTCTGTCACCTTTCCAAACAGCATCATTAGTTGGGAATCAAGTTCTCACATATATGAGCCTGTGGCAGTCATTTTACATTCAAATCACAACATAAAGACATGCAGTTTTATTAAAACTGCCATCTTTACTGTTCTGGATGCTTTTACATATCTATAGAACATGTGTTAGCATTGTATAATGAAATCTTTTTACAAAGCGTAGGCAGGATCTCTGAAAAACTACTGTGTAAGTACCAGTTGATGGCTTAAAGGTTGCTAAAAAAGAAATATTCGCAGATGCAATACAGCATAAAAAGATCTCTTCTTGCCTCTCAGTTTTGTTAGCAAAAGAGCAATGATGAGAACAGCCTATCTGGATGAGAGACATTGCACTTTAGTCCTCCATAATCTAAAAACATTTACCGTGAACCGTCTGGCTTCCTTGACCTGGTTATTGTGTTACTTCAAGGCTGTTTCATATTTCTTTAATAGCATCAGTGTTACTGCTCAGCTTGGCTCAGGCCCAAGTGGAGAGCAGAGCCATATTTGCCTGCTGTGTCTAGCACTGGAGTCAGCTCCTGCTCTAGGCCATCACTGTACCATTGCTTTTATGTCAGCCAAATTTGGCTGCTGAGAAGACTCCACGCTGGGCAGTCTCCACTCCCAGTATGCTTTTATATGTCTACAGCAAGCTATCACTTAGCTGGTTTATCACTCTCTGTAAACTACTGCTTAAGCTTTTTAAGCCTTCCAGAAGCTTAATAGCTTCTAGCATTTGGCTTTCTGTTGTTTTTCTGGGAATTCCAACTTGACAGAAGTCTTAAGACATTTGTCTTGGACAGACCATCTTTAACCTGTCTCATTTCCTCTTTATTTCTTTATCATTTTACAAACCTAGTCTACATGCCAATCTCCTTCATTTTGATTCACTGAAGCCTTTCCAACCTCATAAAGATCATGCCCCACCATAGGGCTTAGCAACAGTAGAGTACCAACTATTGTACCAAAGTTCACAGGGTGAATTATTGACTTAAGGGAATATGGGTAAGGGGTTACTTAGAGGAACACAGCTGACACAAAGGCAGTTTACCCAAAAGCCCATGCTATGGTGGTTGATTTCCTCATGAAAGCAGCATTTCTGCAACTTAGAAATAGCTCTGATGACCCTTAGTCATAGTCTCTTCTCCCTTTAAATAACCTTGGAGAAGAAGCCTTGTGTGTCTTCTAAGTTTCAGGAGTTTCCTGAGGCTTGTGAATTGTTTACATCCTGAGCCTTAAGACATCTCCTTCCAGGATACAATGATCCACTTGGAAGGAAATTGCTACACAACAGATATATAAAGTGGATTTTTTTATTTCAGTGGAATTTGGTAAAGCCTAAGAAAATTGGGATACTTCTAATGAAGTTATATGTTACTGTTGATTCGATGCTTTCTTTTGAGTTTTGCATACAGATTTTATTGTTTCAGATAGACTGTCAAAAATTTAGGAAACGAAATAGAAACTGGGTTTTGTAAACTTAAAGATGCATGTTTTCCTTTTAGTAATTACCCACCCCCACTCAGGGACTGGCACCATTAGGGGGTGTGGCCTTGTTGGAGTAGGTATAGCCTTGCTGGAGAAAGTGTGTCCCTGAAGGTGGGCTTTGCTTCCAAATGCTCAAGCCAGGTCCAGTATCATTCTCTTTTCCTTCTGCCTGTGGATCCCAATGTAGAACTCTTAAATACTGTGTCTGCCATGATGACAATGGACTAACCTCAACTGTAAGCCAGCCCCAGTTAAACCTTTTCCTTTATAAGAGTTGCTATGGTCATGGTGTCTCATCACAGCAATAAATACCCTAACTGAGACAATGATCATGCTATAGTGTGCACTCTTTCCTGTTTGAGGCTCAAATTCTGGCATTCTTGTCAACCCTTTGGGGTTTTAAAAATATATCTTGTCATTCTTTGTTCATTCACTTAACAAGTTCTAGTTTTAGTTTGAGAGACAAGAAATAAGCCATAAAAGAGGCAGAAAATGACAATTTTTTCCAGCTGTATTTTATAAAAGAAACAAAAACATTCTTCACTTTATCTCAGAGTAGTGTTTTATGGGGACTTTAGAAGGAAAACCATATATACATGGTATCTCTTGAGTGTGTGCATGCCTGTGTGTGTGTGTGTGTGTGTATCCTTTAAGAGGAAACCTCCGTTTCATTGCACACTAATTGGCCATTATATATCAGGCTCAGTGTTTGAAGTAGAGCTAAAGCCTTTGGGTCTTTCTGCCTGGGGGACCCTAACCTGGCTGCTTTCCTTACCTTTGTCTGTTTTTGTGACTAACCAGCTTTTAAAGAGCCAGGATTTGTATATATCAAATATTTTTGAATGCCTTTTATCATAGGTACAAACATTCTTATTTAGAGTCATTGCTGGGAAAAGTCTGGTGTGCCAGTATCACCTTAAAGGGCACTCCCCTAATGACCAGAAACCCTTTAAGTAGGCTCCATTTCTTAAGGGTTCCTCCACTTGAGTGTTCTCTACAGGGAACCAAGCCTTTAACACCTGGAGGAAAATTGTTCTACCACCCACAGACATGGTTCAGCCCAGACTCTAGAGCCAGAACGAGAAACCCTGGGCTTGCTGGCTTACGAAACCCTGGGCTTGCTGGCTTACTCTTGGTCCAAAACCTACTCCAACCACTTCCCCTTCTCTTGGCTCCTATTTCCCACAAATACCTTCAGAAGTTGTCCATGCTAAACAACTCATTTTCTCTCTTTTAGAGCTTGACCCCATTTAGTACAAAAAAAAAAAATTTTTTTTTTTGTATCTTTAACAATTGCTATGTATATTCAATTTATGATCTAGCTTTTTAGTTTTCATTTTATCTTTAGATTTTTTTGGGGGGGGACTAAACTATGTCTGAAATTAATTAAATATGAAGTCTTAAAACTCCTAACCATCTACTTATGTTCTTGTCTGTTCTAGTCTAGCATAATCAGGTAACTCCATCCTGCAGAGGGCACTGTAAGAAAGTCATTCTTGATTATGCATAGAACTCTCCAAAGCTCTTAACCAAAAAGGAAGCTTCTTTTCCTACACCAGAAAGAATCAGGTCCCCAAATGGAGCAAGAGAAGTCTGTGTGGACCAGTATGAGTTTGTGTCCACTGCAGATGATGTCTTTAAGCACATTAACACAGTAATGCTGAGATGGCCTTTTAAAATGGGCATAAACCTTTAATCCCAACCTAGGAAAGCAGAGGCAGGTGGATCTCTTAATTCTGAAGCCAGCCTGGTCTGTGCAGCAAGTTCGAGGGCAGTGAGACCTTGTCTCAAAAAACAGATGGGGGAGAAGAAAGATGGCATTCAGCACAGCTCTGTAGACTCAGAAACTGTAAAGAGTTTAGTTTTTCCAGTGTCTATTTCGTGAGGACAGAATTTTATGGGAGTTTAAATCACTAATTCAGTTGCATTTTTTTTTTTTTTTTTTTTTTTTTGTGGATCCTGGCCCTGAATTTGAAAATTTGAAGAAGCAGATGATATCACCTGAGTACACACACACACACACACACACACACGCACGCACGCGCACACACAGTGTTTCCAAACTGAGAATTTAGCCCTGTGTGGTATATAGTGACTCCTTAATTTCTTGTGTGCGTACATAATACCACCTTCACACATTGTTAAGGAAACTTGCAGTGTGGTCATTTTCTGAGGAGTTTAATTCTCTTGTGGAACCCTGGTTTGCTGAGGAGTTTGAGGAAAGGGATGGTGATACATACATACAAGAAAACAGTTGGAACAGGGTTGATAAGACTGTCCCAATTGTCCAGAGAGTAGTTAAACTGTGAGTGATGGCACACACTTGAAATTCTAGCACCCCAGAGCTCTAGGGAGGGAGATAATGAGCTCAGGCTCAGCCTGGACTGCATATCAAGACCTCAAAAAACATAACAACTTACATGTGTTACAGTTTAATAAGTGATGATAATAAAGCAGCAGATGTAATGTGGAGAAGTGTATGAGGGCGAAGTTTTGGTACAGTAATAAAGGATGGCCGTTTCTAGACATTAAAGGTTTGGGATGTTTGGTTGTTGTTTTTTAGTTGGTGTAGTAGGTATTTCCTATGCTTTAAATATGATTAAGTATAAGCACTTAGGGCCGTAAAAGCATATTGTTTAAGACTAAACAGTTGGTGCAGAGGATCTCACAGATAGCTCAGTTGGTAATGTTTGCTGCTCAAGCATGTGAATCCAAGGATCTGATCCCAGCACACACCTATGTAAAATGGAAGAGGATAGCAGCATACACCCATAATCCCAGTGCTGGGCGGGGAGACAGGACTCCTGGGCTTACCAGCCAGAGTCTGAGAACATCAGTGGACTCTGTGTTCAGCGAGATTCTACTTCCAAAAGGTGAGGCATTCAACACTGACCTCCTGTTCCCACACATATCTGCACATAGAGGGCCTGTACTGCACCCCCACACACACACCAAAAGCAGAGACACACACCTGAGAAGTCTGTAAACGCACACAGGCTTATTCAAGACATGGTCATGGTTTATGTCTGTCGGTCTGTGGGCTGTGAAATAGTATTGTGTGGACTTTAAATTCTATGGGGGGGTCTGTGAGAAAAATTTTAATTATCAAGTCTCTTTTACTAAAATTATGAACAATGACTAGCTAAGTGGAAACTATATGGAGAAAGTACTAGCCTTTAAAGTTATATTTGCTTTCACAGGACCTAAGGAAAGCTGGGTTGCTGATTTTTGCTAATAAGCAAGATGTCAAAGAATGCATGACAGTAGCAGAAATCTCCCAGTTTTTGAAGCTGACTTCTATAAAAGACCATCAGTGGCATATCCAAGCTTGCTGTGCTCTTACTGGCGAGGGGTAAGATGTCGTCTCATGAGTATCCTACATTGGGCTCAGAAACGTGTGTCATCAAATTGATAAATATGCCAGGAAGTCTGGGTTTAAATCAGACTGGATGAGTATGTAATAAAATACACAATGCAGATATACACACATGAGCTAGCATGTAGGCCTGTGTATTCTACAGCTCCTGTAGCAGCTTAGAGAAATGAGAGTGTCACTAAGCGCTGGAAACATCAGAAAATACTTTCTGTGCTTTTTAAAAAAATATTATGTGTATAGGTGTGTTGCCTGAGCAAACTGTGTGCACCACAGGCATGCTGAGCCCACAGAGGCCAGAAGAGGATATTGGATCTCCTTGGATTGGAGTTACAGACATTTGGGTGCTGGGAATTGAACCTGGGTTCTCTTTGAGAGCAGCCAGTGCTCTTAGCTGCTGAGCTATCTCTCCAGCCCCCAGAAAATACTTTTGATAATGAGCCTGGGGCTGAAAAACTAAAGCTTGACAAGCGTGTCCTTCCTAGAGTACTTTCCATGCAGTGACTTTCTTAGTCCTCACAGCAGCTCTTATGCCTAACACAGTAGAAATAAAAGAGGATTTATGTGTAAAACTGGCATATATCCACCACGGTCAGGCAGTGTTGTCAGATGGAAATTATGCTGTCAAAAAAAAAAAAAAAAAAAGTGGGAGGCAAAGGTGTAGTGTGTTAGTAGAGCGCTTATCCACACATGCCAGACCCTGGGTGGAGTCCACATCCCACCCCATGGGGAGTGGGAGTAAAAGCAGAATGTCCTTGTTGCCTGAGCAGGGTATTGGAAGGCAGTATGATTTGCCCGGGTCTTGTGCCCAGAGCTGAATTTAAGAAGGAAGTAGTGGTGAGCTTTGTCAAATGTCTGATCAAGGACCAGGAAGATGGAAAAAGTACTATTGAATTTAACAGTAAATGAGTGAACTCAACCTGTGCATTGGGAAAGTGGGCAGAAGGAGGTCAGTTGTGGTTTAAAAAGAAAATAAATTTTAGGATAGCGACTGTAAAGTCTTTAAAAAATGACTTATTTATTTTAGGCTCCTTTGTGCCTGAGTGTGTATGTGTGTGCCATGTCCATGAGGGAACCCATAGAGGTCAGAAGAGAACATGGGATGCCCTGGAACCTGTCTTGTGAGCCATCATGTGGGTGCTGGGACCAAACCTGGGTCCTCACCTAAGTAGTAGAAGTTCTTAACTGCTGAGCTGTCTCTTCAGCCCACCTGTTAACGCTTGAGTGTAGCAAGAAAAGAAATATGAAATAGAGGTTGGAAATAGGGTAAAAAGCTAAAAGATTAATTTGTTACTACTTTTCAAAGGTATGGAGATCTTTATCTATTCAAAAGCAGTAGAAAGAAACGAGATTATAAAAAGAGGTCTTAAGTTTGGGGCTGAAGTTCTGGTAGGACCAAAAACCTAGAGTACAAAAGATAAGTAAAGTGACAGGAATTATTTCCTTCTGAAAACCATGATGAAGGATGAATGAACATGAGGCATTCAAATCAGATCACTGAAATAGACCAAAATCTTGGTTTCTGTTTGGGTATCATTTTGCTTCAGTTGGTTGAAGACTGGGCTGTAGAGCATGGCCTCCCTTGACCCCACACCTCCATTGCTAACCTTGGTAGGCCTGGACTTCTTGTCAACTCTGGGGAGTATTGTGACCTGACTGGCTGTAAAGTAACTGGTGCAGTTTGTAGTTTATTAGCAGTGGACTGCTGTTCATTGAAGTTTGAGGTCATTGTTTTCCATCCACTGTTTTCTGTCAGTTTAAAAGTAGGAGTCTAATTTTGAAGAAGAATAACCACTCCCAAAAATAGTTTGCTTCATTGATTTCTGTTTGTGTGTTCTTTTTATTTTTTCACTTGGGCTGGAGAGAAGGCTCTCTTCCAGAAGACTAGGCTTCAGGTCCCAGCATCCATGTCAAACGACTCATAACTGTCTCCAACTCAAGCTCCAGGAGATACTGTGTCCCCTTTTTGCTTCTGTGGGTACCTGCACACGTATGCATACAAACACATACACATAAATAGTAAAAAGTCAATCTCTAAAAAAGTCACTGCAGCAGTCACTGGCTTTTATGTCTATATGTGCTCATCCTAGAGAATAGACAGTTTTGAAGCTTACTGTCACATCACTGATAGCTGTTTCCCTCTTGTTAGACATTTGGTTTCTCTTATCACAAGAGTAATCCCTTTCTATATTTCAAAGTAGTTCAGTTGCTTCTTGTTGGTCAATAGAAAGTAATAATAATGATGTAGTCTCTTGCCTCAAATGTTTTACATACAGTTATTTAATATATATATGCATTATTCATGTTAAGAACTCTATTATATGTTTAGTATAATATCCCATTATTTTTACCTCATGACATAAGCATTTTTTATGTCAAAAGTATTTTTTTGAAACAAGTTTTTACTGTTTTATAATGTGAATGTTCTAAAATATATTGGGTTTTACTTACTCTATCAGATTTCACTTTTTCTTATTTAAAAATGCTCCAATCCATAGTCTTATAAAAAATCTCTTTACCATCTGATTTTTGTTTTTAGGATGCACTGCTTGAATTAGAAAAGCAAGCACAGAATGTTGATAAACACACACACGCACACAGTGTGTACATCCATGGACATAGGTCGTGTGAGTTTCCTGTTTATGTTAGGCGCTGTTCTAAGCATTGAGGTAAAACTGAACCAAAACCTTGTGTGACCTAGTGGTAGCGCATCTTTGAAGTAGCAGTCCCTTCATCAGTTGCCACTGCACTGTTCTTGCTCTTCAGATTGATGGAGACTACTGTCTGCTAGTAGACAGCCTGTAGCTTTTTAGGTCATACTGAGTAACAAGATTTTTGTGGTTGTCATAGGTTATGCCAAGGACTTGAATGGATGATGTCACGGCTGAAGATAAGATGATCTCTGCTGACCTCTTCTCACGGACTCTGTATGAGCAAAGTGCTGGACTTCACCTGAAATCTGCAAAAATGGTTTAGATATATTTATAATAAACTGACTGAAGAGTTTTCTATAAGAAGAGAAATGAAGACCACATGTTGAAAACAAAGACAAAATGTCACCACCCAGTTTGCTCTCTCAATCCTTCCAAAGCTGTGACTGACGTTTTCTCATGGTGAATCCTCTCAGGACATGGTAGAGCTGTGGCGAGGACAAAGGCAGAGGAAGACATTTGAACTTTAGAGCTTTATTGTCAGTGTGACTTGCCCACCCCACCCCCACCAAGTTGAATGTTCCCTTCTCATTACATTGAATCCAATACAAATCAGCACAGATACGGTTTCCAGTTTTTAAAAATGTAATATTATGGGAAGTATTTTGCTTAAAGTTGAATATGTATTGTGTATATACCTCAAGTTCAAGTTAATGGCTTTGATTTGTGTTCGAAAGAAAAGCAAATAACAGAAGTTAATACTAGCCTTAGTTATTATCCTAATGTCAGTGCAAACCAACATTGGTGTTAAGTGTCATTGTTTAGTTTACCCCTCTGTTCTCTGTATTATCCTAACAAGCCAACCTTGACTCAGAATTGTTGAGCTGCTCCTTAAAACTGAGACAGGAAAAAGCTTGACATTGTATACCTATTTTGGTTGCTGGGTAATACAGCTGGAAACATATAACACAAGTGAACAGATTTCAGCCAGACTCCTGGCCTGCTGTGGCTGGGCAGAATTACATGGTAAGCAGCTGTCAGGCTTCTCTTCTGTAGATCCTTATGCCAGTTCAGCTACTAATCCTTCACTCTGAAACTGTGATTAAAACTATCAGTTGATTTTTAATTGAAAATTATGGTGTGAAATATATCTACCCAAAGAGGTAACGTTCTATTAATGGTAGTAATTAATTTAGCTGCAGCCTTTTTAGGTATTAAATTATATGACAAAGAGTTAAAATGAATTTGAGAGTAAACATAAGGCATAGTTTTCAGTGAACACTGATAATTTCTCCATTTGTAGATTTGTGACTGTAGGTTTTCTTACATCTTCTTCAACTCCATAAAATGCCTTGTTTCATAGTTGAGAAATCCAGAAATGCTGAATGATTTCAAGAATTTGATTAAAAATTTGCCATGTTTCACTATTTATACTAGAAGTAATTTGACCCAAAACACCTTTTATATTTGTTGATTTTTTTTTAATTTATCTGAAGTTGAAGTGTTTCTGTCATGACTATAAACAGAATTATCCTGTGTTTTAACATATTCTTGGTGACTCTATATACCTCTTGTACCCTGAAAATTTGAAAGTTAATCCAAACTGTCAAGATTTTGGATACTCAAGATTTAACTAGTTTTAGTATCACACTTTAAAATTTCTTAAAGATGTTGGTAAGAAATAGAAGTCCACATATAAACATTGATGAAACTTTGAAAAATCTTTCAGTAAAATGTAAGACACTTACTGTCTAAACCTAACAGGCACAGATGAGTGTTAACTCGGGATACTTTGTGTTTGAGATTGTGCTGTATGGCCCTCAATCACTAGGCTTTGCAGTGCTAAGTCCTCTTCATATGTTCTTATAATTTTGTTTTAATCATGAGAATTTTTCTCTCGTATGTTAAAAGTACCCTCCCTCCCACATCTACAGCTTTTTAGCATTTCATTTTTTAATTTGAGTAGTCACGTGCACAGTTGTTTGGATCACATCAGTTACATCAGTTCAGCACATACCAGCACATTCTGGTGTTGCTAAGGTTTTGGCTAAAATTTATTCTTAATTGGATGTTTAAAGCATTTGCTCCTTTGCGTTAGTATAGTCAGTTATTGATAGGACATAAAAAAGCATGAAAACTTTACCACATTTACAAAATATAAGGGTTTGGGGTTTGTTTTGTTTTGTTAACCCTTTTAGGCTAAGAGTAAAAAAAAAATATACCTGTGTACTTGTACATAAAAACAAAATTATGACTGAGTAAAAAGAGATTTAATATATGAAGATATCAAAACTGTCATTAACAGTATTAGGTCCAAATATGGTGGAGCACCCCCTGATGTCATGCTGGCAGTTTACCTGTCGTGGGGCAGAACTCGGCAAGTCCTGTGGTTTCAGATGCTAAGATCTGACTTCTGGGTATACACAAACATCTCACTGAACCTCACTGCGCTCAGCTTTGAAAAGAACAAAGATTTATACCTCTGTACCTGTGGGTAGATTTAAGTGTCCTGTTTTGATACTAATTTTAAAAGTTGTTTAACTTCTCTTGATATCTTGGTAAAAGTGACCATAAGAGAAATCATTTGAATATATTTGATTTTGTCATAATGACATTTATAATGTGTATGCTTCCCATTCTGTTGAGAGTTTTATTTTAAAAATTCTGTTTCCCATATATTTCTAGCACACCTTGGCCATCACAGTAGACAAAGAATACACAGAAGCCAAGTGGGCTGGGCAGTGGGGAGTAAGTATTCATTTTCTTGTGATATTTTGCCTTAAGAATAAAATGTGCTTTAGCACTGCTGGCTGGCATTGTTAATGCAAGTGGTAAAGCGAACCTTACAAAAGCATGTCATGAGATAGAAGGAAGACGAGTTTGTTCCCTGGCCTTGAAGAAGTGCCTCGTAGGTAGTCATGAAAGTCACAGGTAAGTAAGTGGGGGAGCTTGAGGACAGGCAAGGGGTCCCTAAAGTGTTCTTTTTCTTTGTCTGAGTGTGTAGTATTGAGATGCCTAGAAGAGGCACTTAAATTTCTTGCTGTAACTACAGCAATCACATACAGTACAGGCAACCTCAAAATCTGTTTATATTAGTGTAAATAGAAAAATCGTAGACGGCTGTCTAGTTTTTTCTGCAGGCATTTTAGGAATGCGTCTGTAGTCTCTTCTACTTTGTAAATAAGGGATAACAGCACATCCTAGATCATACGTGCATTTTGGGGTCTTCTAATTGCCCTTGGTATCCTGGTATCATTCCCATTTTCAAGGTGAAGGAGAAACGGGGCTCCGTTACATAACATATTTGACCATTTCCATTCCCCAAACATAACTTGGAACTTCTTGTTCAGGAGCAACTTCCGTAGCTCAGCCAGCCCTTGCTTCCCTGGATGTTTGCTTACCACCAATGACCGTTGCTCTTTTCATCTGAAGGAATTCTAAACTCTGACCACTAGGTTTTGAGTAACCTTTCTAATTCTGTCTGTCCACCCACCAGTGACTTGACTCACTGTTCTGGACCTTTTGCATCAGCAGAGACGCTGAGTCTGTCAGGAGACCAGATTCAGATTATGCTATACAGAAACCAGTAGGAGAATCATATGTTATCCTATACTTAGCACCTTAATTTTAACTTAAAAGTTAAAATTAGCTTAAAATTAACTTCTTATGCTGACAGCTAGATTCAGAAATACAAGAAAAATACATAGACTATGTCAGGTCCTTGAGCTATGAGTTAGGACCGAAGGCTATTAACGTTGCATTCACATTATCCTCATATAACTAAGAATGGTGATGTTAAGAGGTTAAGATGGAGTGGAGAAAGGTGACCAAAAAAAAAGCTGTCTATAATATTGAGCCTGAAGACATCCTAAAATGGCTCCCCACATTCCATGTTTTCTCATGTTTACTTAAATAGCCAAGATCAGCATTTAATGTCTAAAGAAATTTGTGATTTGATACCTAGTATTACAAAATAAACCTGCTAAAACAGGCTTTTAAAAACAGCAAAATAAGCCATATGTAGTGGTGTTAAGTCTGTAATCCCATCACTCAGAAAGCTGAGACAGGAGAATTGCTGGGAGTACAAGGTCAGCCTGGGCTAAATAGTATCATGCACCAAGACTAAATCACAAAAGACAGCCAGAAAGGGAGAAAAAGGCAGCAATCAACCATCATGTGTTCCTGTAGAATCAGATGTAATAGCAAAGGTTTCGGGATGCTACTTACAAAACATCTGTGCACTTTCCTCAAAGCAGGTGTGATCGATTAAGACTGTGATGGTGGAATGAAGGAGAGCGCAGAATTTAGCACTCTGGATGCTTAAAAAGTGAGTGCTTGTATTTAACCCTAAAAATGGTTTGAAGTTGGGAAGAAATGTAACAGGATACAACTGGGCTAATTATGCAATATTTCATCTTTTTAATTCTCTAACTCTGTACTATTCCTGAAATGGAAGGGTGAGTCTGTGGTGTTGCCTGCTCAATTTGCAGATCTTTGGTAGACATTTCTCATAGTGTGTACTTAAGAAGTGCCTGACATTGATTGTGTTGATTTCTAAGTCCATGTAATAAATGATATGTGTTTTCTATGGTATCATGTTCTTGGTTTGGTTTTTGTTGTTTTAAGACAGGACGTAGCTCTAGCTGTCCTGAAACTCACTGTGTAGATCAGGCTGGTCTCTAACTTGAAGGATCCACCTGCCTCTGCCTCCTGAATGCTAGGACTAAAGGTGCATGGCACCACTCCCGGCTGGTGTTGTATATTCTTGCCTTACTCATGACATAAGCCTCAGGGGTTCTAAGGCACCATTTATGTTTGATTTAAATTAAACCACAAAGTTGAAAATACCAAACCAAATATAGGGAAACATGGATAAAACTAGTTTGTTTTTTCTGCCAGAAAATGGGTTTTAACAGATTTATGCAAGGGTAAGAGATAAAGGTTTTTAGGGAAAGGACAGTAAATTCCCAAGTGTGGATGTGAGCTTATCAAGAGGTAGGGTGGCAGGGACTTGAGGTGTTCTAAGAAAGCTGTATGAGGGGTGGTGGTCTGAAGTTAGTGTTCAGAGTGTTAGGAAGTGAGGTCATGGGGTGGTCTGAGGAGCAGGATGAAGATTTGGGGCTAAAAGAGGCAGGTTCCCTGATTACCTGCTATGCTAGGTTACAGGAAAAGCACATTTGTAACTTTATTTGTAAGAGTCTCAGACAGCCAATCAGTTCATGTCAGAGACAGTCCCTCTTCCCATTACTGTGTAACCCACTTAGACACTAAACTGCCATGGGCTACATCTGCGCAGGGGTTCTAGGTTATCTCCTTGCCTGGTGCTTGGTTGGAGTATGGGTCTCTGGGAAGATCCCTGTGTTCAAATTTTCTGGTTCCATTGCTCTCCTTGTGGGGTTCCTGTCCTCTCCATAACCTATTTCCCACTTCTTACATAAGATTCCATGCACTCTGCCCAACGGTTGGCCATAAAGTCTCAGCGTCTGCTTTGATAGTCTGCAGGGCAGAGCCTTTCAGAGGCCCTCTGTAACAGGTTCCTAGATTGTATCCTGCTTTCTTCTTCTGATGTCCTTCCTCTTTATCTTTCGAAATGGGGATTGAGCGTTTTAGTCAGAGTCCTCTCTCTTGATTAGTTTCTTTAGATAGACAGATTTTAGGTTTATCCTATAAGTCTATATGAGTGAGTATATACCGTGTGTGTCACTTCCCCCTGAGGGGAGAGCAGTCTTACCAGGCCACAGAAGATGACAATGCAGCCACTCCTGATGTGATCTGATAGACTAAGATCAGAAGGAAGGAGAGGAGGACCTCCCCTATCAATGGACTTGGGGAGGGGCATGCATGAAGAAGGGGAAGGAGGGTGGGATGGGGAGGGGAGGAGGGAGGGGCTTATGGGAGATACAAAGTGAATAAAGTGTAAAATAATAATAATAAAAGTCTCAGACGGAAGTTACATGCTTCACAGCTGGGAAAGCATCAAGCAAACATGTAGATCATATTTTCTTCAGTCTTACTCATGGCTTGCTGCTGTTTTACCGTCCTTACTTGAAGAGTATTATTTCAGCGTATATAGTCTTCACAGTGCGTTATGTCATGAAATCCTTTGTTCTCAGACTGTGAGGCTTCAGCCCAGCTCCATGGAGAGGAGGCTCCTTCCCCTTTCCGTGTTCCTGTGTTTTCCCTTTCTGTTCTTCTTTCACCTACTCTGAGACTTAAAGCCCCTTCTGCCTTCTGAAATCCATCCCACCTGAATAAATGCTCTATATTCAGGACCCGAAACCCTCACACAGCTACAGGGATCCAGTACTCGGAAGCCATGTCAAAACACTGGAAGAAGACAGCCTCTTTACTGAACGATGCTGGGAAGAGCGGATTTCCACCAGTGATGGCAACACAGAGCTTCTCCCCACATGGAGGACTCACTTGTCTGCCTGGATCTGTAGCCTTTTGGCTCTTGGGCAAGCTTTTATTGGTCTTACTGGTTTTGTAGTTATGGCGTGGAACCTAGAGCCTGAAGCTTAGCAGACAAGCCTTCTACCGTCAAGTTACACCCACAGGCGGTTTATTTCTTAATGCATGCACAATGCATTAAACCTGCATTAAACATTCACTTGCCTTTAAAAGGGCTGAAGAAAAAAAAAATCTAAAACATGCAAAGACTGTCAGCTCATGTTTGAGGAGAATAATACCCAATGCCTTCGCCCTCTAACACAACCACCCACCAAGTCATGGGCCTCTGTGACTGCCACTCGGTTTACAGCTATCAGTACTACTCAGTCCTTTGACTTCCTGGTGGGCCTTGGTGTCACTGAGAATTCTCGTCAGTTTCAGTGGTGTAAGTTGTACATGTTCTCACGTGAACCTACAATTCCTATTTTTAACATAATGTCTTCCAAGAACACTGTTTGTTAAATAAGCATGTAAGGACTGGGAAATAATTTTATTTGATTCTTTTAAAGCTTAGCCAGTCTCGGGACAAAAATGCAACCTTTTTTTTTTTAGATTTCTTTGGTTATTATTTGAGTTGGAACGTCATAGATTTGGGTCCTTTTATGAATTGTATAAACTTTCAACCAGTTTTCTTACTGGCTGTGTGGAACTTCTATTAAATAATATGAGATTTTTGTCACCTGCCATAGCCTTTTGGCCATTTTTACTAAAGGTGTCCTCAAGACTTATCTTAATATGTAGTTTTAGTTGTATATATGAGCCTGCTTATGGTTTGTGCCTCTGCTCAAAACTGTTGTAATGAGGCACATTTAGTGATTATGTAGTTCTTAACTACTGCTTATTTTCTGTATACTTTGAGTAATAACCAAGAACTTTTTGTTTCTTCCAGTAAGCTGTTTGCAGTTGATGTGCATGGATCAACAGAGGAGGTGGGGGATTTTTTTATTTTTATTGTCTTATTTATCTCCTGCATTTTTCTCACATGATCAAAGTTTTGCCACATTTTCAAGACTCCACCTAGATTGCACATGCATCAGAGTTCAAACTTTTGTTGGAAGTCCTGTGCTAATTCTTTCAACAGGTCCAGCCAGTGGATCATTAGTTTAAACGTGATGAAATGTGATGGTGTAAGGAAAGTGATAGGCGAGTGTGAAGTGGAAATAAGGCAGAGTATAACCTGAGTCAAGATGATCTCAGTTATACGTGGCAATACAAAGAGGACTTATCATACTTGGTATTTTTCTAAATCTGCTTTTGAGTGTGCCAAATAGTCTATATTTAACACATTAGGTGGAGATTTGAAAGTAGCGCTGGATCCTTTGTGTTGCTTTTAGAGAATCTGGCTCAGTTGGTACGGTGCTTGCCTCGCATGCAGGAAGACATGGGTTCCAGTCCCCAGCACTGCATAAAAGTAGGCATGGCAGTACATACCTGGAATCCTAGGACTTGGGGAATAGAGGCAGGGGTGTCAGCAGTCTAAGCTTTATTCTTGGCTACATGAGTTCATAGTGAGCCTGGACCACACGAGACTGTCTAACAACGATGGAGGAATAGAAAAGAGCACAGAAGTTTTCATTTCAGTTTGTGTGTAAATGAGATGCCCCTCAGTTTAGAGGTCTGGGTAACCAGCACACATTCACTGGCCCAGAACCATATTCTGACAGAATTCTTGTCAATCAATCAATGCATGTCTAAAGAGATGGTCTGTTTCACTTATTGCCTTACTTGACTGCTTTTTGTAGGATTCTTGGGACAGCTGCCTCCATTCTGAAGCTTATTTTTAAAAATAAAAGTAATTAAAAGCGCAGTGCAGTGAGGAGGAAGGTTATTCTTTTCAGCAGTCGACTGAAACAACCCAGCTTCATGGTTATACCCACAGGTCTGCTCATGTATGCCTAGCCTCAAGCACACTGGCAAAGCTGGGAGGCTTCAGCGTCATTACTGTCTAAACTTTTTCAGCAATAGACTCTTTTTCCATAATTTATATTTTGTGAAATCCTATGGGAAGAAAGCAGGGAAGATTGACATTTTACTTGTATGCATATTTTGTTATTTGACATTAACATTCACTTTGTGAAAATGACATTTTAATGATCATAAAAAAGTGTTAATAGGGTGTGTGGAACATACGAAGCTCTGAATTTGGCTATAGGTGGTTGGTTTGGGGAGGGTTCTCTAGGGGTGTGTTAAGTATTGCCATCAAATAACTCCTCACAGGAAAGGCTTTCTCCCATGCCATTCCTTAAGTAATACAGGATAACTACTTAATTAGCAATTTCCAATTAGGTTTTGTAAGAATCTATTATTGGGAGCTGAAGAAGTGGCTCAGTGGTTAAGACCACTGTTTGCTTCTCTAGAGGACCTGGGGTCCATTCTTAGCACACACACGGTGGCTCACAGCCATCTATAACTCCAATTCTAGGGGATCTGATGCCTTCTGCCAGCTTCTGTGGGCATCAGGCATGCACCTAGTACACAGACATACATGCAAGCAAAACACCCATACACATACAAATAAACATGTTTAAATAAATATATAAATAATACAAAGTTTATGTGCAGGTGGACATAGATTGTAGGCAAATGCCCAGCCATTTTTATATAAGGGATCTATATCCAGGGAGGTTTTGAACCAGTCCTGGGATTAGGGTTGGGAACTAGATTGACAATGGTTTGTCAATTAAAAAATTCCATTGATTAAAATGCGATTTTTAAAAAATGACTCTGCTTTGTACACCATCTTAACACTTTTCCAGTTGCTGTGATAAGATAACTCTTATCAGAAAACTCTGATAACTCTAACAGACACAGGGATAATTTTGGCTCCCAGTTCAGGTGCTGTCCATCTCTTCAGGAAAGTTCTAGCAGCAGGTGCTTGAGGCCGCTGGTCACACTGTTGATGCTTGTATTCTGCCAGCTTGCTCATGTTTTTAGAGTCCAAAACCCAAGGCCAGCCCAAGTGCTGTCCCCTTCAGTGTGGGACCTCCCACTTCCCTGAACCTAATCAGCATAAACTCTCACAGGAATGCCCGGAGAATAATCTCTCACAGATTGTGCCTGGGGCCCTGCCTCCTAGGCCCTAGGCAACTCTAGAACAGTGGTTTTCAAGTTGGGGGTCAAATGGCCCATTCATGGAGGTCAAG